ATCCTAACTTATATTCTTTTCCAGTTTTCTTTGATAAATGGCATTTTGTAGGAAAACATTCATAACCATTTGCTTGTACAGTGTCTGGGCTCCTTTGACACGACAATATCAGAATTGATGTTGAGACACTGATCTACAAAATTCAAAATATGGACTGTTATGGCACATTTATTCTGATTGGCTATTTCTTGTTCACAGTGAGTGCTCTCTCATGACTGATATGAAGGAAGGGTCTTATTGGTTGGATAAATGCCTAGAATCAGTAGTTCTGGAGCATAGACGAGACATATGACTTTCTCAAAATTCAGCTTATTAATTCAAATTGTTCCAGTATCCACTTAATTTGTATCTGTCTTTTCTAGCTTCACTGACTTATGACACCATGTGTTGCAGTATGTGATTCTTCTTTTTTAGGAAGCTTAATGCCTTTAAGCTATTTTTGTGAACATTATTCTTTTTCATGTTCTTATCATGTCATTTTCTGCATAGAAAAATTTCGAGAGATTATTATCATATGTGCATGGTAAACATTTCTTTTTTCAATTAGTTTCATTGATTTTTGAACACCTGTGTCTGATCCATTTTTCTTCTTCTGAAATGAAACGATCTTATCTTATTGTGAATAATTGAAAAAATACATTTCACTATTTTGCTTGTAAATTTAATTATTTTTGTTTTTAAGATAACGTGATATTATTATCACTACTTTTTACATGGACAATTTTAATTTTACAAATTTGTAGATTGATTGTTATTCCTCATTTGACCTTAATATATCATTATATTTTCTCCCAACTCTTGTCTCTTTGTATTTTTATTGTGATCCTTATTGTTTTTCTTTTTATGTGACATATTTATTTTATGTGCCTAAAAGAGATTTGGAGTTAATTTCAGTAACTGAGTTATACCTGCATGTTATTTTAATTGGCATTCTGAAGTTTGTTAGTGAATAGCTTTTAGAATTTTTGAATACATGTGTTTCCAACAATTTTGATAAAAATATACAATGTTGTCGGGGATTTAGCTCAGTGGCATAAGAGCCTGCCCTGCAAGTTCCAGACCCTGAGCTCCATCCCCGGTACCAAAAAAAATAAAATTAAAAAAATAAAAATAAAAAAGAGAGAAAGTCAGTAAAATATTTGATGTTTCCCTGCTCAGGAATGATTTGTTTTATTTTTCTTCCTCCATATGTGTAGGGCTAAAACAAGGCCAGCCCCGAAATTACAGAGCCCAAAACAAGCCAGATAAACAAGCTGTTCCAGCTCAAAGAAGGCAATGTTCCCAGGCCAGCCAGGCAAAGAAGCTGCTAGGTAGTGGTATTGAAATTGACCTCTTCCTCTTGAGGGTACAAATAAATTTGCTACCTTAGCCTTTCACCATGCCATTTTCATCTGGAAGCCAATGTACCATGAGGCAATGTAAATCTCTCTTCCTTTATGGTGAGAGTATTAGGGATTTTGTGCCACAATGAGAAAAGTGACTAAGAAAATACCTCTACTCAATCTCTATGGAGAGTATTCTTTTAAATATGAGAAACATGACTTAAACGTAGAGATCCCATTGAAGTAATCCACTAGGGTTGCAAATGACACTAAACATCCTGATAAGTTTAAATGATCTGATGTGAGTGCCGATGTCTCGGGACTGGAACTATTTCAAAAACAAAGATGAAGAGAATAAGAATACCAAAATCATAGCTGCTATGCAAAGACATGTATAAGAGTGTATGATTTGTGAGAAAGAGTTGATATTTTTGCTTTCAGTTAATACCGCAAATTACAGCAAAAAGCACTTTCATCTTTATTTCTCTGTCTTATTTCTTTTCTACTACAACACAGCAAATGTACAGATGTGACTGATTACCATAATTATACAAATATGTGAGCAAAACTCATAAAGCAATAATAAAGCAGTATCTATTGTGAAATTGATTTTATTTACTAATATACCAAATTATACCAAATATACCAATTTATACCAAAATTCAGAGAAAAATTGATTACATTTTACATAGAATTATTGAAATATAATACAGAAACTTTTCTGAAAATGATCCCATTATACAATTGATACTGATCAGTCAAAATGCCAAGTTGTATATTTTGTGTTTTAGATACTTTAGTATAAAATTAAGGATTTTTAAAAAGTTATCATTTGAAGAATATTGGAGGTAATTCCAGTAAAACAGGAAGCAAAAGAGCTGTGGAAACTCCTCAGGAGAGGCCATAGGACCAGTATCTTGTACAGCACAGGGGGCGGCAACAGCCATAACCATAGCCACCAGAGCCATAGCCACAGCCACAGCCCAGGCCGCCATAGTACCTGCTGCAGGAGCACATGGTGTCAGCAGTGGAATGTTCTGTTGAGGATCTGGAAGCAGGTGGCTTGTGTCTAGAAGTCCCTGTCTGCCTGGAACCTTTTATGCCTCCTTGGTGGTAGACAGGGAAAACCATAGGCAAGACAGTGTCACTCATATTATCTCACTAATCCACTTCAGACCATGTCATCCATAGCTTTTTTTTTTTTTATTGCAAAAACAGGCCCTCATAAGTGAGGTAATTTTGTTCCAATGTAAGCAATTCATGAACTAATTACAAGTCTTTTCAATCAAAATCTTCTTGTGTTTTCATGACTTCAGTTCATGCTATATTTAACTAATTGTGTACATATGATGTGAGTACATGCTATTTTGTAAAGTATTAAAATAGATTGCATAGGCTTTTTGTGGTCTGTTTCTTCCGTTCCTCCACAATGAATAGTTTTGTTTTGCTTTGTTCTCTTTTTCTCCCTCCTTCTCCAAGTCCTTCGAGAAATGTGATGTCAGTAGCAATTTATTTCTTGACTCTTGCTCATGATGAATGAACCGGTTTCTGCTAGATGCTGTTGCCAACTTCATGGCTAGTTGCTATCACATATCTACACAGTGAGCTTTTAGAATGAACTTATTCCTTAAGTGTGTGTTTTCAAGCTTTCCAGAAATAAGTATCTATTTTATGAACAGAAACTGTGTGTTCTATGATGATCTTTGTCATTCCATATAAACATAAAAAGCATAAATGTAATTGTGAAACACAGTATGTAAGTATAATAGTGAGATATTGTATCCTCAATCCTTACTTTTTAAAGTGGTGTTTACCTCCAACATTGCCAATCCCAATCCCAAAAGTCAAGGCATTGAAACACACTTTGCCCATAGTGAGCTCACTATAAGTGACACAGGGAAACACACTCAAAAAGGAAAGCACACATGTGGTTACTGATGGTGAGAGGAACAAAAGAATAATTCGGCTGTATTATTTCCTAATTCAGGGTTACATGAATTCTTGCCCATTTTTTGTTTTAGGAAATAATATTTTATGGGGAAGATTCACATCATTTTCTTTACCCAAGGTCTATGGCTGCTTTAACACCATAGTAATAGAACTGAGTGTGAGTCTCAAACAGTAAAGTCTCTAAAACCCAAAACATTGGCTTTATAATCCTGCACAGCTCTGAGTGCCTTACGCCACACTGTTCTGTAAGAACACTTGCATTGCTTAGGTGCACACACAGGATCATTTCTCCTGGGTTTTTCCCACTTTCCCCAAATCTGAAGTTTTATCACTCATTGTTCCGCTATCAAGGACTTTTGTATTTTCTGACTTTTCTGGGTTCACTGACTCATGACTGTCTGTTACAATTATACATTGTTATTCCTTGTTTCCTTAGTAATCTTAAAGCCTTAGAGCTATGTATTTTTGTACACAGAATTTTTCACTCTTGAAATGCATCTTATTTTCTGCATATTAAAAGCTCAAGAGGGATTATAATTGTCAAGTGAACATTATTCATAATTTTTTCAATAGTTTTGAATGTCTATGTTTTTAATCTCCTTATTCATCATTATCAGATATTTGCAACTGTGGTTTGCTACGTGTGATGGGGAGTAGGCACCCAAAATTCTGCTGATTTTACTTCTGCTGAAAGAAATTTCAGTGCCACTTGCAATCAACAAAGTTGAAATTTCCATCAGCTTTTCCAAAATATTTCCATTTTCACATTTGCACCTTGAATCCTTACTTTTTCTATCTGTATTTTATTTCATTAAATGATGTCAACTGGCAGTTCCTGAGTGGAACCAGATCTCTTTTAGGATGGAGACACTTTTAATCTGGTGAAAATCTGCATTTGTGAACAAATACACCAGATTAACACCATTGTACTGGGAAAAATTAAAGCATAATGTTAATTTGTAAGCAGACATCTGATTTTTGAAAGGATTATTCTTGCTATGTGCAATAATGCCTTATTTTCTAAAGGGTTAGAATAAATTGGTATATTTTGAGCCACTATTGAGAGCCACATGTGTAAGCCAGAAAGTCACAATTATTACTGATGCTTAAAATCTAACATGTATTATGATGTAGGTCTGTTTTGTCCTCCAAACAATGAAGCACTGAGAGGCAGGAATTTTGAAATATGACAGTGCCATCCTCATTGGCGTTTACCCAGTGATGTTATAGTAGCGGAGTCGGTTCTTAGGAGATGAGGCCTGTAATGGGTTGATCACTGTATAGCCATCTCCTTTCGTGGTTCCTCTCTCCTTTGCTTCTGGAGTGCATGACATGAACAGGCTACTCTCTACACAAGGTTCTTACCATGCCGTTTCTGCCTGGGAGCCAGCCAAGGGTGTATCACCACAAACTTCTCCTACTATGTTGTCCATATCAGGTCAAAGCTAAAAGGTACATGTCTAAGACATCACCAATAAACATCCTCTAAGAAGAATATTTTTTAAAATAAGAAGCATTTAAAAATAATAACTGATATAGATCAACATCTGGTATTTTTCTTTTCCTTTTATACCTTCAATTGCCCCTACCTTCCCTTTCCTATCTTAATAGCTTTCTCTCCCACAATACAACAAACACACACATGTGACAAATCCCACACAAACACCAAACTGTATGAGCGAAACTCACAATACAGCAGGCAGTAACAGCAGCAGTTATGGTGAAATAGTTTATTTAATAATAAATTTGTTTACACAACTTAAGGGTTTAATTGCATTACATTTTATATAGCATTATAAAAGTAATACTAAAACTGTGCTCTGACCTATGCCATTATTTAATTAATGGATGCCAATGGGTCAAAAAAACATGTTGCATATTTTTGATTTACTTATATTGTAGAATGTTGTTGGTTTTTTAAAGTTATTTAAAATTTATCATATGAAGAAAATTCCAGGAAGTCAGCAGGTTATAACCAGTAGCCGGGAAGCTATGGAACCTCCTCAGTAGAAGCCATAGGACCAGTATCTTCTACAGCATAGGGGGCAGCAACAGCCATAACCATAGCCACCATAGCCACCATAGCCACCATAGCCACAGCCACAGCCATAGCCACAGCCCAGGCCACCATAGTAGCTGCCGTAGTAGCACATGGTGTCAGGAGTGGACTGTTCTGCTGAGGATCTGGAAATAGGTATCTTGGTCTGGATGTTGATGTGTCAAGGGGCCTTTTATACCTCCTTGGGGGTGGGCTGGGAAACCACAAAAGTGTAACATCATATTACCTGACCAATGAGCTTCAGACAGTGTCATAAACATCTTTACTAATTGCAAAAACAAGGCCCTCATAACTGAAATCATTTTGTTCCCATGCCAGGAATCCACCATCCAATTATGGCCCTTAAAAAAAAGAAACTTACTCTCTGTTTACAAGCTTCTGGTTCATTCTATATTTGGTTAACTGTGCGCATATGACATGGTTACTAGTTACGGTACACATCTTGCAGACAGGCAGCCCATTTCTATTTTTGTGTGTTTCCATTCCTCCACTGGTACTCGTTTTTCCTGTCTTTTCCCTCCCTTCTTCCTTCCTTTCCTCCCTTCAGCCCTTCGCTTTCCTGCATCTGGTCCTTCCATTCTTCTTTCTTTATGCCTTACACTTTCAGAAACTCTTATCTCTAATGATTCTTACTCATAATAAATGAGCGAAGCATGGGCTATTATTGCTAACTCAGGGGTACATACTATCATATGTATGTGTAGTGGAAGTTTAATACGAAATTATTCCTTGAGTAAGTGATTTCAAGCTTCCAAAACATAAGTGACTATTTTATAGGTAGTAACTCTTATTCATATTGTTGTTATTATATTTTAATAGAGTGCTTTTGTCACTCCATTAAATGTACTGTAGATATAATCATGAAACTCCATAGTACAGTTGGATGCTCCATCCACCAGTTACTTTTTTTTTTTTTTAATCAGTGTTTACCTTTGAATAGGACAGGAGCACAGGTATTGCCCTGTTCACAGCGAGCTCAGAACAAGTGACATTATTACCCATACTTGTAGGAGAAGGAACATGTAGCACTGCACTAATAGTGAGAAAGGAAGGTTACACAAATGCCTTGTGTTGTTTTGGGGCATAGTGCTCTTTAGGAAAGCATCCATATCCATTCCTTTCCTTGCGGAACTGAGGTCTGTGGCTACTCTCACGCTGTAATGTAGAACTGAGTGCTGAGATACTGACAAGAAGCCTCCAAATTCCCCAATATTGCCTTTTTTAATTCTTATAAAAGACGGTACACATCCCTCTCCCTGATATGTAAGAACACTTACACTGCTTGTGTACACATCACTTTTCCAAAAGTTAACATTTTACCTCCAGTTTTTCCACTACCCACTCAACTTTTATATGTTCTGGCTTTCATAGATTCATTGACTTATGACAGCCTTTTGCAATATACTGTAATATCTCTTTATTCCTAAAGAGGTTAGTACCCTAAAGCTATGTATTTTGTGCATATTGCCTTAGATAGGCTCATGCATCTCATGAGCTTTATGTATCTTATGAATTCGATGTATATCATGTATCTCTTGTCATATATCTCTCTGTATATTAAAAGCTGAAAAGAAATTGTAATTGTTATAAGCACATGACTAACATTAATTTTCATTTTGATTTCATTACATTTAATTTACTTTTGCCTCAATCACTTCTCTTCTTCCTAATAAATCAATCATTTTTGATTTTCAAAACTCAAGGATGGATATAAATTTCTGCTGATTTTACTTCTTTCAACATCCCCTAGAATTGCCTGTCTCCTAGAATCAGGAATGTTGAAATTTAAACCTACTTTTTCAAAGTTTCTCCATCTTCCCCACACTGATCTTTTTAATCCTTGTAACTTCTGTAAGCATTTCATTGTGTTTGATGGCTCAGTTGGAGTTGCCCAAGTGAAACAATTTCATTTAGGTTGGTGAAGCTTTCAATTGGAAAAAAAATCAGCATTCATGAGTACATGCATTTAATAAGAGACTATGGTACTGTGCTAGCATAAATTTCATTATTTCTGCTGACATTTTCAGTATGATACCTTCTGTGATGGTTCAGGTCTGGAATGCACCCCCCTCCCCAAATACTCATGAACTGAGAGACTGGGCTTTTGAAGGGTGCCTAGATCATGGCAGTGCCTTACTCAGCATTGTATTCATCCACTAATGTTTCAGCCACTGTGTGTGTTGTTAGGAGGTGTGGGCTGGTCAGAGACTGGTCCCTGGGGTGTGACCAGGCAGGTGTATCTACTGCCTGTGCTCCACCTTACCTCTCTGCTTTATTTTTTTAAAAAGGGTCCGATTATGCTGTTTAGGCTGGTCTTAAACACACTGTGTAGCCCAGGTGGGCCTCAGACTGGAGATGATATTCCTGCCTCAGCTTCCCAAGTGCTGAGATTACAGACAAAGCAAAGAGAAATGTCTAAAACAGAACCTATAATCAATCTCTAGTCAGTACCTTTTTTAAAAAAATGAGAGAAATTTTCCTGATAGAGCTCTAGTGGACATAATCTAACCAATCATCACAAATTAAACAAAGTATAGAGATACAAACAATTTTAAATGAACATACATAGTATTGTAGAAAGGGTTGTTTAAAAATTAGATGAAATATAATTATGTTAAAATATAGACACAGTACATTAACAAGCAGAAATGGAGGTGGTAGTAAAAACAAATTTGTGAGATCTTTGAAAACAATTGATTTTTAACCTATTCTAGACCCCTAATTATCTCAAAAGAGCTTCCTAATTCACTTCTACCACAATCTCCCTCATTATCTACCTACTTTTCTCTGTCACCCGTAAAAAGTCATAGATGTATAAATAATAGCACACACACAAATATATAAGCAAAAAGCATAATAGAATAATAACAAACAAATATGCAGTTTATTTAATAATATATCTTTTATTTAAACATTGAGAATCAAATTTGGTCATGTTACATTACATTACAAAGATAATATAGAAACTTTTACACATACAGTCTTATCCAGTTGATAACCAATCAAATGGCATGTCACCAGGTTTTGTGTTTTTAGATAATTTAGCATATAGCTGCTGTTTGAAGAAATCTAAAAGTGTATCAACAGACTGTGAAGCTGTGGAAACGCCTCAGTAGAAGCCATAGGACCAGTATCTTCTGCAGCACAGGGGGCGGCAACAGCCGTAACCATAGCCACCACAGCCATAGCCACCATAGCCACCATAGCCGTAGCCACAGCCATAGCCACAGCCCAGGCCACCGTAGTAGTTGCTGTAGTAGTACATGGTGTCAGAGAGGACCTTTCTGTTGAGGATCTGGAAGTGGCTGTCTTGTGTCTGATGTCCCTGTCTGCAAGGGCCTTTTATACCTCTTGGTGGTGGGCGGGGAAAACCACAGGCAGCACAGAATCATAGCATCTCGCTAATGAGCTTCAGAGAGGGTCATGACTACATTTACTGATAAAACAATGTCCTCATAACTGAGATATTTATTCACCTATATCAGGAATTCATGGTCTAATTATGGGCCATAAAAATGAAATTCTTATTTTATTTTCAATGCTCTGGTTTGTTCTATTTTTAGTGAATTACGTACACATGGCCTGATTATATGGTATGATGCAAATCATGAAAATAAGCCTCTCATCTTAATTTTGTTTCATTTACATTCCTCTGCAGAAACAAGTTTTGCCTTACTTTTTTCCTCCTCCCTGTCTTCTTTCCTCTCTTCTTCCTTCCCTTTGTTCTCCTCCTCCACCATCTTCTTCCTCTTCTCCTCCTCCTTGATTTTCTTCATCATTTTCTCCTCCTCTTCTCTCTCTCTCTCTCTCTCTGTCCTCTCTGTCTTCCGCTTCCCATACATCACATCTTCTTCCAAGTCTTATTGTAAGCAAATTGTTCTTAACTTTTGCTCATATCAAATGAGATAGTTATTGGCTATTAATAATTGTCTTAATTACTTTTCTCATTTCTTAGACAAAATACCCAAAAATCAAGGTTCAATGGGGAAAGATTTGTTTAGCTCACAGTTATGGGGGTTTCAGTCTATTATCCACTGGCTCCCAGGCTGGGTGGTATATGACAGAGAGGCAACAGTTGTCCTGGCAGTGAAAGACAACAAAAGCATAAAGAGAGAGCCAGACAAACTTCTTTCTGTTTGTTATGTTGTATCCATTCTACCAAGGTCAGGACTGTGCCAGTGAGTAGACTGATCCAGCAATCACCTATGCAAACCCTAGCACCCTTAAAACACTTAATCCTAGCACTGCACTGAGAATCAACATGCACTCGAGATTCAGCCACCTCTGAAAAAGCCCTATGATTACATGAGGCTTTGGGGGAAATCTAGACACAAACCGCAACAATAGGAATTCCACGGGCAATTGCTATAATACATGTACATTTTACTGGACATTTAACTGGAGCTTACTCCAGGGGTAGATGACTTCAAACTTTCCAGAAAATGAATGTTCATTTCATGGGCAGAGACTCCATTCAGTGCTTCTATACCTCTATTTGCTGTCCCACACTGTAATGCAAGTGTGAAACCCTTCACAGTTACACAGGGCCCTCTTTCTGCAAGCCATTTTTATCTATTTTAAAATCAGGGTTTACCTTTGGCAAAGAGCATGGACATATACTCTGTCCACAGATCTCAGCAACAGAGACACACAAATTTGAAAAACCCTGCAACAATGAGAGGACAGAGAACAATTTCTGTTGTTTAATACCTTAATTTAGGTTATATACTCTTTTCCATTATTTGGTTCAGGAAATAATATTTTACAGAAAAACATTCACATCCATTTATTTAAATGTGGTATCAGGTTGTTTGGACATCTCAGTGGCAGAATTGAATTTTGAGACATGGACTGGACTACAAAATCCGAAAGACCATCTCATCTGGCGCCAAGCATTTGCCTTTCCCTGACCAATGCCTGCAAACAGTGACCCTGGCTGTGTATAACTCTTAAACCAGCATTGCTAGATCATAGAACAGATAGATATATTGCTTTGTCATAATACAGCATTTTTCCCCCTGTTGTTTCCCTTCCCACTAAACTTTGTAACTCTGCAGCTTTTTCAGCTTCACTGACTTAGGACATCTGTTTCAGTACATGTGATTCTTTCCCGGTAAGCTTAGGGCCTGAGAGCTGCATATTTGGGGGCACACTCTTTTATGATACTCTTTGTCATATTTCATATTTTCTTTATATTAAAGTATGAAAAGAAATTGTGGTTTTTAAGTGCATAAAAGTGACATTCATTTTTATTTTTAATTAATTTCACTATTTTTTGAGTGTCCATGTTTTTGCCTCAATTTCTTTACTTTCTCCTAATAAATCCTAAATAAATCTAATATTCCTTACTGTGGCTAACAGAAAATAAAGTTTTAGCTTTTTAATAACTTTTTAAATTTTATTTACTTGTAAGATAATTTATATTAATAATAGATTTTTATAAATTCATTATCTGGGTTATTTTGATTTTATGAATTCTAGACAGGTGGCTATTCATAATCCTTGCTTAATGTGCCATCATCTCTTCCTCTCTTTGGTTTCTATAGAGTTTTGTAAATAACATATTTGTTTTGTCTACCTAAATTACGATTTTGGATTTGGGTTTTATTTTTGCCAACTGAGTTATGCCTAAATGTGATTTTAATTGGTACACTGCCACTTGACAATGAACAGCTTTGACAATTTGTGGACTGATGCCTTTCAAAGGCTTTGAAATAGCATACAATATTTCACTATTCAAAGTGGTTTTATTTTCTTCCTCTGTTGAATTTCACATTGATTTGACACTCTATGAGATCTGACACATCTTTTGTGTCCTCTTCAGTTTTATATTCCAGTATTTCACATTATTTAAATTGGAGATATTTTATATTTCATTGAGTTCTTAACTATATATTGCTCACTTTTCTGAGAGCTAGATTTTAAGTTTGTTTCTGTGACATGTATACCTTTTGTATAGTTCCGCAAGATTTCAAAGTGTTAACATTTTTATTAACATTATTTAGAATTAAAATAGTGTAGTTATTTTCATGGTCGCTCCTTGCCTCTTAGAAAATGTAGAACTGAGTTGGGTTTGATGAGCTTTGCCTATAGTTTCAGTTACTCTGGAGATAGAAGTTTGGAAAACTTCTTGAGCTCAGAAATTTTAGTCCATCCCAAACAGAATAAAAAGATCCATTCTCTCGTATGTGTACCTTCCTTTTTGTCTTGGTCTACAGTATAAGAACCACAAACATTTGACTAATCAGTCAGAAATATATAAGTAATGTAATATAACTGAAAGCATTATTTGTGATGAAATAACATTTAAAAATATACACTTCATGAAAAAATTGAGAGTAAATATCATATTTACATAGCATTAAAATATAATAGAATTTTTTGCAAATTATTATATAGTACCATTGATACTGATAAAATGGCATGATTTTTATTTTTTGCATTTCTGTATATACTTGATGGTTTTGCAGGCATTTAGAAATTTATCATGTTTACAAATTGTACATAATTTCATTAAAAAGGGCTGTGTAGCTGTGGAAATTATTCAGTAGAAAAAATAGAACCAGGGGCTGGGAGTTTAGCAAAGTGCTTGCCTAGCAAGTGCAAGGTCACGAGCTTGATCCAGGTACGAAAGAAAGAAATCATAGGACCAGTGTCTTCTACAATACAGTGGGCACCAACAGCTCCCACTCCACAGTGTCCATAGCCATTGTGATAACTCCGACCCTGGAATAAAACCCAAAGAAGCAAGAAATTAAAATTTAGGGAGCAAAGGCTTTATTTTAGGTCAGGCCCGGTGACAGTCTCCAGGAGCCAATTTGGAGACTGTGCACCTGACAGCTGAAAGTCAGGGCTTTTATCTTGTAAGTCCACAAACAGCTGCTGGTCACACAGTGTAAGGAGGGGGGGATGGGTGTGGTGCACTACAAAACAGAAACACTGCAGTTACATGTCTTGGGAAGAGCAAGATCTGGTAAGGGTTGTGCTCACAAGCAAGTCTCCCTGCATACAAGCAAGTTTAGATAAGAAGAAATCCTGTTTTCCTCAGCAAAGAATAGAGAAGTCTAACAGCAATTAACAACCTTAGTTACCTTACTTTAGCACCGCATCTGTTGAGGGCAGCAATGGTTAACATATCAATTAGGTAAGATTTTACAATTCTTTACAGAGGAGAGCACTGATTAACATATCAATTAGGTCACCGAGAGGGGGATGGGAAAACACATACACAGTGAAGGCATTTGGTGTGACACAAATATAACAAAGCTATTTTTCCTAGAGTACAACAGCCATCATAGCCGTAGCCCAGGCCACCAAATAGCTATCATAGTAGTATCACATGGTGTCAGGGGTGGTGGTGTCAGGTGTTCAGTTGAGAAGCAGAGTAAATTATCAGTGTCCTTGTTGTGTTACCGTCTGTACATGGCTGTGGGTTTGGCAGTCTTGGTAGTAGCATGAACCACAAGCACATGCCAGCCCCATTCCTTAAGCTAATTTAGAATTATAAATATTGAGAATGTGTAATTTATTAGGCATAAAAAAGCCAAGATAATTAAGCATTCTCTGCTATTGTCATGGTTTTATAATAATGTAGATATCTTTAATAAGGAACTTCATTTTCATAATGCCAAATATGACATCTCTATTTTTAAATTTAATTCCGATGATTATTGTGCCCTTAGTTATTAGTATTTATTATTATACTTATCTTAATAAAACATGCTTAAGAGTTATAAAATGCATCTTTTTTTTGAGCATATATATTGGCCCTGCACTAGGCTGACTGGAGCCATCTCTTGAAAGCAACTTAGTGTTGCTTTCTACAGAGGAAACTTCCCATTTATGTGAGGTTTGAATATCTTTGTTAGCATATTAACATTCCATTTTCTTTTTCGCAATGAATATCCCACATTTAACAGTTGATAGATTCCTTGCCTAGATAGCATAGACTCAGTATTAGAAAAACAAGTCTGTAAAAAAATTAAAATAAAATAATAAATAAATAAATAAAGGAACACAATGTGTTTGAACCCTGAAATATTGTATTTTCTACTGGCCACTAAACACCATTTTTTCCTTTTTGCCTTTTTGTGTTCCACTTTTTAGGCACCTGTGTTTCCCAATAGATTTTGTAGGATGGTCTCCCCTTAGATTCTATCAGTAACGTTCTTGGGAAGGAAATTGACCTAGAGGGCCGGCCGGCAGTCTCTGAATTATTAGATTTGGGTAAACAAAAACATACATGTTTTTAGCAAGAGGTGGGGCTAAAACATATTCTCCTGCATCAAACTGCTTGTGTATTGC